TGAAAAGAAAAATCCCGCATGTACACGAATTTTTTTTTATTGCATTTTTTTTTTTAACTTATAAGGTAAACATTATTTTCTTTTTAGTAAAATTCTTTTTCTTTATATTTATTTCAGGATCTCAAGATTTGGTGATAAACTTTACCAGGAAATCGTTGTACGATGTTCTAAAACAGTGTTCCAAGAAGAAAATTGATGAAAAGTTCGGATTTTTAGAAGAGCACGTCAGAAATGTTACCAAATGTCCTGAACATGAACAAAATTCAGTAAGAAATTGTATAAAAACTTTTAAATTTCACTTTAAACGAAAATGGAGAGCCGCTAGTAACAAGGAAGAACGTTTTTTAAAGAAAAATGAGCAATGGCTCAATGGTGCTGTAACAATACCTATCTGGACAAAAAAAAGGGTGTGGCCGACCATCAAAAGATTTTATTGAGGCAAGTTCTCCAACAAAGAGACGTAAAATAAAGGCTTTGAGAGAAACAATACCGTGTGATCAACTGACCTATGCAGCCCAAATGAGTCAGCGAGCAGCAGGACACAGTGATGCATCTAAAGTAATAAAAAATATTCTTTCTGTGCCAGCAAAAGCTACAAAATATAGAAAAAGTGTTTCATCTACAGAAAGTCTCATTATTAAAAAACACTCACCATCGGAAGCACTATTACATTTTGTGGAAGCTGATATGACGAGAAAACAATATGAAGTTATACATGCTGCAAACAAGAACATTTATCCTTGTTACTCGCTTTTAAAAAAAGCAAAATAGGAGTGTTATCCACCAGAGGAGTCAATGCGTGTCACAGAAACGTGTTGTGAGATAAAACTTCAAAATCTTTTAGATCACACTTCTACGCGGCTTTGTGAGTATTTGGATGAAGTGTTGGAGAGTTTAAATGAAGATCAAAGAAAAAAATTGGAACTATTGTCGAAGTGGGGATGTGATGGATTACAACAACAAACATTCAAACAAAAATTCCAAAATAGCACAGATAGTGACACAAATATCTTCCAAAGTTCGTTTGTGCCTCTACGGCTTATTTGTCATATTGATGATCAAAAGAAAATTAATTGGCAAAACCCAGTGCCAACTTCTACCAGATTTTGTCGACCTATACGAATCCGCTTTGTTAATGAAACCAAACATATAACAAACGGAGAAATCCGCTATGTCGAAAACCAAATAGAGAACTTAAGTAAGACTGAAATACAGAAATGTTCTGGTGGTAAGCAACAAATAAAACACACGCTGGCATTTACAATGATTAATGCAAAGATTTGCAATGCTACAACAAACACCACATCGACCATGAAATGCTACATATGTGGGCAAACGTCAAAAGATTTTAACAATCTAAGTTAAAAAAACCCTGAAAATCCCAATGCTCTTAAATTCGGCCTCTCAGTGGATCAGATTTTTTGAATCATTACTGCATTTATCATATAAAATACCAATCAAGAATCAAAGCCCCACCCACCAGCCAGCCGCCAGGCGGCTTCATTATTCTGTCGGTATTTTCTGGCCGCTCGGTCGCCGCCGACCTTTTGCGCTGGAGTGTCGTTGCGCATCGCCGCCGACGCACCGCTGCGAAGCGTCTTTTTTGTCGATTTTTGTTTTGTTCTAGTGCAATTTTAATTCAATTTTTGTTAATAAGATACTAGAGTGTTTGTCTTGAGTGTTAAGTTTAGTTCAGTGAAGATTGTGTTTAGTTTTGTGTGAAATGTGATGTGTTTTGCGCGTGCATACACTGGCATGCAAAAGAGCGTGCTTAGCTGTCTTCAGAGAAGAATTGAACATTTTCAGTATCGATATCATTAAGGTATCGGTAAATAATTAAATTTAATTAATGTATTTCGCGGTCCGTTGTAATCTGCGCACAATCGATATGGCGCATGCGCGTTAAAGGGCTGTCAACACTTAGAAATTTAAAATTTTTACTCCATTTTTACACCTCCTCTATTTTTAAATATTTGTCAAATAAAATGAACGTTTGCATGTAACCTAACTTGACACTTTCGGCTGTGTCGGTCATTTTGTTCCTCCCTGTATATCCTTCGAACCTTCTCGAATAGTCGTTTCCCTCAATGAGTGCCATTTCGACAGTTTTAATGAAAGTAGCAAACCTAGTGCTTTCTCTGGTGAAAATAAAACTGAAGAAACTGGTTTCTTCATAATTTCCTTAAATTTCACTGCTGCTTCAAGATTTTTGAGCATGTGTTCAATAACAGATGCAATATCTTCACGACCATCTTGTTTCAAAAGTGCTGCAGCTGAGTATGCTAATTCAATAGGTTTTTCGCCTTTATATTCGTCAGATCGTCTCTTCTTCTGCTTGTTACCTAGATCTTCAAACGGCTTTCGAGATCCGTTTGTCATTGTTGAGGCCGATTTCATCGTTGACGGTAATGGTACAGGTTCAGTACAATTATTTTCACTTATTAGTGTTTGAAAGAGCAAATTAGTTTGCACGCAGTTTGGCCAGTCAACATTTGCCTGAAGCCAATTACTATAATCACGTCTAAATAATTCACTTTTCCGGTGAGATCGTAACCATCTTTTTTGAACTGCTCGTGTAAATCTTCGACAAAATTCCTTCAGGGTGACACTGTCTTCATCTGAAAGGTTAGAACCCATTCGAATAACAAGTGTGCTGAACAATATTTCATGATCGAAAGAAGAATTATCCTGTTTGCTTAGAACAACAAACAAATTCAAGTTTGTAATTATGCTTTCCATTATTTATGATCACTGAGTAAAAAGATACGGTAAGATAGTGTTAACAGTAGAAATGCTCAAATTGAACTGAAATTAAGAATCCTAAGTATTTTTGACTATTTATTGTTATTAACTAATGAGGGTATTCGTTTTGCCTAGTTACCTTCGTTAAGGTAATCCTGCGTAAGTTACTAAATTAAGCACCCTAATTTCTAATTAACCAAAGTTTAAAATAAATAATAAGTACAAAGTGTATGATCAAAATTGATTTTTTAGAAATAAAAATTTAAAAAGTGCGTACTCTTTCTTTTGTAGCTCTACCGGGTAGTTGGTAATTTCATTTCAGGTTGATTTTGTATGGTGAGCTTGTTAAAATTTCAGATTTCTTGCGCTTTAAATTCTGGTTGTCTGATGATTTACTTTGGGCAAAAGACGAGTTACGGAAGGTTTGATAAACCCTGATGACTTTGCTTCACGAATCTGAGTACAATTTTCATTTGTTTACGCAGTACCAATTGATTCCGATAAATTTAAATCTTCCAATCGTCTAGACGACTCCGTAGCTAATGCTTGACCTTCAGCTACGTACGGACGATCAGTTACGTCCGCAGGAGCAAAATCTTCATCAGTAAATACTTTGTCATCGAATGTCCAGATACCGCAGGCTTCAAATGATTTTCTTCCATAGAAGTCATTGTAAGTCCATAGAAACATTCATCTAATTTTCCCCAATGGTCTGCCAAACGACTTTCTAAATCGCCACTATAAATACTTTTAAATCTGCCCAGATATTCCTGAATTGTACCTGCTTTTAATCTTTTTCTTAATGTTGCTTCCGGAATATTAAGTGATTCCGCAATAGACCTTTCCTTTGACCCCTTTCTATTTTTTCATTTTATTTCTTTCATAATATTCTCATTGAAGACTAATTTTCTGTTGGATTTTCTATTATATTTACCCATGATGATGCCAGATCCTGTGAAATATTTAAAAAAACTCGACAAACCCAAGCAATGTAAATTTTTACGACATACAAGTTAAGAGTACGCGTGCGTACTCTTACGAAATAGGTGTATTTAATCTGTGGTCATTATAATTTTAAATTATAATGACCGTCGATTAAATTAAATTATAATGACCATCATTATAATTTTAAATTATAATGACCATCGATCTTCCAATTACCCAGTTTGAAAGTTCCAAATGAACATGTTGTTGATTAATATTGGCCTCTGGCATGTTATTAACTTGTCAATTGATCGCAACTTTGTTGATGATCCATGTGCTTTACCAAAAATTTGTCTTAATGTTTCCACAAAAGTGTATCCATATGTTACACATACTAAATCAGCAAAAGAGACATGGAATAATATAGTTGCTGCTTATGAGAATAGAGGAATTAGTACGCGTTTAGCTCTAAAAAGAGAACTTTACAAAAGTAATTACTGTAATTACACATCTATGGAAGCCTATATAACACATATTTTGCACTTATTCCCTCAACTTCATAATCTAGGCTGCGTGCTTGAAGACTAGGAACTTGCTGAAATATTATTAATTAGGCTGCCAGAAGAATTTGATGCCTTAACAATGGCAATGGAAGGTTGTGAAGTGAAGCTCACTGCGGATAATGTAATTAGAAGGTTAAAGTAAGGTGACTTCCGTAAAAAGGAACAACAAGGGATAACAAGTAATGCTATGGTGTCTGTACAATCAAGAAGTAAAATAATATATCATCATTGTTCCAGAGAGGGCTATATTGGACCAAAATGTCCATTACTACTGAAGTCTGTCCAGAAAAATACTTAATCAAATATTGATCTTGAATTGGCAATGACAGTTACACCAACTATGTTTTCACGTCAAACTGCAAATGTATGTGATCCAAAGAATGGTTAGTTCATTCGGGTTGTAGTACCCATATGTCAAGATTGGATGTTAAATTATTCTAAAAAATGTAATTCACCTGTAATGGTTGCGAATAATAACAAACCGTATGCCAGTGGTAACGGTAATGTAAAAGTAGTTTTAGATACCTATTACTGATGTAACATTTGTACCTGGTATTTCACCAAATTTACTGTCAGTAAACAAAAACTAAAAAGGTAATGTTCTAGTTTTTGATGAAAAACAATGTCAGGCTTTTGTAAAGGGTAATGTAACCACTAATAGCTATTATGTTTTTCAGCATCTTACTTCAATGGTCTGTACAAACTCAATTAGAAACGGCAGCTCTGGCACAAAAGAATGGGCCACCTCGGCTATAAAAGTTTACTGTTACTGCGAAATGGTCTTGCTAAAGGTATAAAATTAAAAGAATCTTACTTACAACCGTTTATTCCTTTCATGGCAAGCAAAAAACTATGTCATTTCCTAGAGGTTCTACTAGAAAAACAACTCAAATACTAAAATTATTGCATAACTTTTTTATGTTTGTTAAAAAAAGTAAAGAGATGATTTGTTTGGTAAAATGTTTTTAATTTTATATTCATTTAAATTATTGCTTTGGTATTGTAGATTTCAAATACATATCATGCATCGAAGTATTAGTATTAATTTTGCTTTTATTTAATATTTCGTAGGAATGGTATCAAAAAAATAACACCTCAGTCACAAAAATAATATATTTTTATAATTTTTCATCTAAAATCAGATCTTCAGTCTCATTACATTCTTATAAAAAATATTAACATTTAATTTTATCTAACTCCATTGGACGAAATTCGTAAAATAAACACTAAAAAAATATCCAGTACCACTCTGTCACTTCACAAATTTAAAAATAAGTAATTTTGATTTTCGGTACAAATCGGCAATTTCATACTTTAATCCCTATTATTATGAAAGTTGCCCAATAAAGTTACTAAAAAATCTAGTGACAACCTTAATTGTTTAGCATGTAATACTAAAAACGTTATTTTTGTGAATGTTCCCAATAAAGTGGTTTGATACATTACTTTGAACTTAAATTATATGGGGGACAAAGTTGTGAGGTTCACAAAGTTACGGAGTTATAAATAATGTTTACCCGCCGCACAAATTTATCTTTATAACACTTTTAATTTGTAGGAAAAAATAACAAATAATATTTTCTTAAAAAGTCTTATTGATTCTTTGATAGATATTTTAATCTTACAATATATTTTTATTTACTCTTCTTTTCAAAAACTTTTATTGGTTGATGAAACTCATAAAATATACGTCTTCTTCTTTTAACTACCCTAGGAGGTGGAATAATTTGTAACAAATTTTCGAACATTACATCTGACACATCAGGTTCTACCAATTTAAATAATTTTCCAGTATCATCAACAGATTTATAAAATATCACTCGAACATCTCCATCTTCATCCACTCCACTTTTTGCTCTTCCTAAATAAGCGTACTCAATTTTTCTTTCACTTGCTACTTTGACTAGAAGATGTGTTCTATTGTTTATAAATAATGGATGGATATTTTCCACCAGTAGATCATGCAATGAACCTGGTGAATACAACTCACAGATTTTCATAAGAAGAGGCTGGTCATTCCCGACTGCTAAAGTAGAAAATATACACAGTCTTATAAAATCCTTTTGTAGAACCTATGATATTAATTATATCAGTCAAAGGTTCTTTTACATTTGAGGTTGGAATGTTAATTTCCGTCTCACGTTTTTGCAATGGGCAATAAGTCTTTAAATTGTAACAATTATAAAATTTATCCCAAAAACAACTCAACATTCGGTAGCTCAACATTCCAGGGCGCTGAGCAAGTAATTGATGACTTGCATAGTCCCTTTTAATGGATAATTTTATTTATAAAGGCTCATAATCTCAACGTTGTAAAATTGTAATTATATTTGATTTTCTTTCAGTGATACAAAATATTTATGGCTTGCAATAAATATTGTTACGCCAGAATGGCTAAAAACTACAATATTCTAATACTTAATATTGATTATAATATTTGGTTATTTTACTGTTATGTAGAGGGTCGATTAAACAATTTTATCAAAAGTAATGATTTTTATTCATTTTCTTTTATATTTAACTCAGTTTGTTTCATATTTATAATTTTATTTGGTACAATCAGAACACTTCATTTTGTTTATATTACGCAGAACTCATTTCCTACACAAAAAAATATAAACAAAATTAAAAAATATATATTATAACCTATACACCTCAGGTAAGATTTGAACCTGTGCTTCTGCCAAGACGAGAATGCAGACTGCAGCCCGTACTTAAGTACCAATGAAGTTATGATAAAAGTTTAGTATTCCTAAATAAGACCACAAACTTTGACATTATGTGTATTTATGCATTGACAATAGCTTCTACTAAATATGGTCTAGGTTTCCTCCCTTCTTTAGACTAAAAATATGTACAAAATATTAAACTTTATATTTTAATATTATTATATTTATTTTACCTTTCTAACACTTTACCGTTATGGAGATCTTCATAATATTTCCATTTAATAAGAATATCATCGATGTAATATTCTGTATTAAGTATTCTAGAGTATATTTGGTCCATAATTTTCTGAAAAATGGCTGGTGCTGAAGCTATACCATAAATGATATGTTTATATCTATATAATGCATTGTGAATTCGATATGTTCATATCTATATAATGCACTGTTAACAATTTTTGAATCTCGATATTTACTAACATTAGTGTATAGGCATCTGACAAATCTAAAACAACAAACAAATCTCCATCTGATGGTAGCAAACACATCTTCAGGATTTAGCAATGGATAACAATTAATTTTAATATATGGGTTAACTGATCTATTAAAATCAATACAAATTCTATTATCACCATTAACTTTGTAAATCTTGCCATCTGTTTTTAATTTATTCAAATTATCTAGTTGGTGATACGTCAACAATGTTGTGTGGTAATTGATATGATTTTAAAAACACTGGGACACAATTTTCTTTTAATGATAACTTCACAACCAATTATGTGAGTATCAGGATTATTACTAAAAAATTTTTTAAACTTAGCCTTAAATTGTTGTAAAACACTTTCACTGTTATACTTTATTCACATGACATAACTATTTTTTAATACCGTAACTAGGTCCTCGTTTGCTATAAGGGCGGTAAAAATGCTCAACTTCAAAGAAAATGAATAATCTAACTTTATGGACAGATACGTAAGTTTAAGAAGAATTCAATATTTTTATATGATAATACTTTTCTTTGTCAGGCAACACCAAAAGTGATAGATATCAGAGTCAGCCATTTCGTTTTCTGGGTCTGAGAAAACCACGTCGCTTCTTATGGTGATAATTTAAACGTAAGTTAAATCTATTTGCATCCCGTAAATTTGTAAAAAAAAATCTTTGAAATCGTATATATGCACTTCATAAACGCTCTGATCAGATCATATTTCATATTGAAGGTAAGCACTTTATTTCTCGTGTTAGTTTTTTGACTTGGGTATACTTTGCGTCAAGCTTTGAGGATATATTGCGCCTGGTGCAGTTTCCCTGAAAATATTTTTTTTCCACCAAAGTATCTATTAACCTATTTTATTTTTTCTAGGCTATAAATTTGACTAGGACTTTCAAAAAAAAAGTCTACGCAAGAAGATACAAGACATATGGGCGTTTCTCTGGAAACTGGGCATCTCGCTGTCTCAGACTAATATGATATATAAAAATAAAAGATCTTAAATATTTTGTGAATAAATTCTAATATTAATAACTTCATCTACCCCTGCTCACTGTTAAAAATCCATAAAAATAAGCTTTATTGTGTCAAAATTGTTTTTATAGGTCTTAAAAACCAGTCCCCTGACGTGTCACCAAAGCAGTACAGTTGTTTCAGATTAAATTAATGGAGTCAGTAACTATTGGACTTAATGAAATTGTTATATTACTCAATCAATATCGTTTGATTGTAAAGAAAACCTATTTATTTAACATTAATATTATTTTACAACTCGAAAAAAAGACAATGAAACTTTGTCCTCACTTTTTGTGAACAGTCCCCCTGCCTAGAATTTAAATTATGTGTCATTTATTCTAAACATTAAACAGTGACATTTATGCGTGTATCCGAACGCAACAAGTCTGAAGTTTGCGCGGTTGCTGCAATTACGGCCCGTGCGCCATCTTGGTTAGTATTGTGCGCGCGTCCTTCCGTGGAAGTCACGTTGGAACCTAACAGCCAACAGACCCCTGGTAAGACTTATTTTTTTTTTCTATTTATGCATTTTAATGATACTTAGATAAGTTCAAATAGTTACAACAGACACATATTTCCTGTGAACAGCAAAATAGCATGGAGCAATTACATTACGTACAACTCATCAATGAACTCAAATTAAACAGTGCTCTGGCAACAGTCCCCTGCCCCCCGACAGGACAGAGGACTGTTACCGTATCCAGGGGACTGTCTAAATTAAATATATTATATCTATTGTTTTAGGTGTGTTTTGAGAATGGCGCCAAAGAAGAAAAAAGCAACTAGGGAAGAGATTCTACAAAAGAAGAGGGAATCAGAACGAAAGAGATATGAACGTATAAAAAACGACCCTCGGAGAAGAGAAGAGCTTAGGGAGAAAGAACGCCTTAAGTATCTTAAGAAAAAAGAAAAGGGAACTAGGAAGCTTGTTGAGAATATGACTCCACGAGAACACCGAGACGCAAAAAAGAAGTGGAAGGAGCATTGCACCAAGTATCGCAATAAGAAAAAAGCATTAACAATTATTACCAACTCATTTATTAGAGAAAATACTCCAGATTCTGATGTATCTATTCCACCTCAAATGCCAACAGCTGAAGTTGCTGAAATAATTAAAAATAATAATAATAAAAACAAGAAGTTAAGATATAAATTAAAGAAGGAAAAAGACCAAGAAATTGAATTACTAAAGAAGAAAGTATTGAAGTACAAAAAACGTTTATCGCGATTACAAAAAAATATAAACGCAAAGCCTAAAGATACACCAAATACGAAGTTGCAAAAAATGGCAGATACTCCAGAATCAAGAAAAGATCTAGTCAAAAAAGCTCTTTTCGGTGAAGTATTAAAAGAACAAATACAAAAGAATTTTTCAGAGATGAAGACAGTAAAAGAAAAAAAGTTTCTTACAAAAATTGTTACAGGAAAGATAGTTGATAGATATAAGTTATGGCGAATGAAAAATCCCGGTGTAATAACCTATAAAAGAATTATGAAGACAAAAATGGCTCATCGACTGGAAAGAAAAAAGAAAATTTCAAATGAATATGTAAGAGAAGTTGTAAATTTTTATGAAGACGATTCTAATAGTAGACTTGGAGCGGGAAAGAAAGAATTCATAACGAGAAAATCAGAACGAAAACAAAAGCGATATATGCTTGATTCGTTACTGGGCTTGTACGAGAAATTCAAACAACAGAAGAGTAATTTCACACTGAGTTACCAAACTTTTTGCAGACTACGACCGTTTTGGGTCGTCATGCCCAAAGTTGATAAACGTAATACCTGTTTGTGCATTACCCACGAAAATTTAGACTTAAAAATATCTGCTTTATTTAATGCAAAGATTTTAAATTATAACAGCTATCAGAGATTACTCGAGGATCTATGTTGTGACCGCTATAATCCGAAATGTTTATCTGGAGAATGTCAAAATTGTGTCAATAAGATTCCTGCTTATAAAGAATTCGATGACAGAAGACAAATCAGTTATAAAAAGTGGATATCTGAAAAAGTTGATTTCGTCGACCCAAAATCCGAAAAGGCTCGTCGAATTACGAAATACGTTAAGAAATCCTTTAATGTGAAACCGCGCACCCTTATTATGGAACTGCAAGAGGAGCTAGAGAACTTTTTTTGTCATGAAAGAAATATTGTACACCAGTTCAGTGCAATAAGAAAACTTAAAAGTACGCTGACAGAAGAAGATGCTCTTATGCATATGGATTTTTCTGAGAATTATTCAACTAAATATTCTCAAGAAATTCAGGCTTTTCACTTTGGCGGTTCACGCACCCAAATTAGTCTACACACGGTTGTTGTATATCTGAAAGACACAGTTAAATGTTACTGCACACTATCTACCAATATTTCTCATTCTCCAGCTGCTATTTGGGCACATCTTAATCCGATTTTTAATTCATTGCCACTTCAAATTAAAAACCTACATTTTTTGAGTGATGGACCAGTAACGCAGTATAGAAACAAAACAATGTTTTACATCATGGCGACAAAAATACCGAAACGATTTCCACATGTGCAAAATTTTACTTGGAACTATACGGAAAGTGGCCACGGTAAAGGCGCTCCAGACGGCGTTGGAGCTACCTGCAAGAGGACAGCTGATGCTGTGGTCGCTACTGGAAACGATGTTGAAAATCTGGAAAAATTTGTAGAAGCCATTAAAAAGAGATGTCCTGCAATTAGTTTATCCATTATACCAGATGAAGCGATTAAAGAAATGAGTGCTGAAATCGGTCGAGAAGAAACCAATGTGAAAAATTTTGTTGGCACTCTCAAAGTCCATCAAGTCACTGGAAAATTCTGTACTCAATTTGGCATTAAATCAAACTCTACTGAGATAGTGATGAAAAATCTAAGCTGTTTTTGCGACAATGATTGTTGTACGCACTTTAATATCGGGAAAATTGTTTATGAACAAAAGCAAAAACTCAATGTAGAAGACGTGTTCACTGATTCAGAATCTGATAATGAAGCTGGGCCCAGTTGTGCTATAGTACAGCCATTTAAAACTGGAGATTATATTGTCGTGAAATTACTTGGCAATACAAATACGGAATATAGATATGTGAGTGTAATTGACAAGATTGATGAAGAAGATGACGAAATCCGGGTTACATTCTTAAAGCTCTGTGATAATAAAGGCCAATTATTTAAATATGATCAAGATGATGTGGCAGACGTTACAATGGACCAAGTAATACAGAAGCTGCCTAACCCAAATATAGTTTTAAAAGGAAATAGAATATTTTACAAATTTGATTTACCCGTAGATGTTTTCGAAAAACAATAAGACTGTCATGATACTGTTTTCTTTACTTATTTTTGCTATATTAAGGAGATGATATCTCATTATGATGAGACTGATTATTATTGTAAGATTCAAAGTTACTTAACGTCTTTTTAATGTGATTTTAATATAAGAAGTTAAATATTAAGTTTTCAGTACAAAAGTTTATATAGGTAGTTGAAGTTGATTATCTAATTATTTCGTTACTTAATTCTTAAGCTTTAAAGTTGAATTATAATAAACAAACATTGCATTCTGATACAAAAATTGTTTTTTTTATTTGAGTTTACAGTCCCCTGTCATAGATAACAATCCCCTGTATGATTTTTTCAGAATATGCTTAATATTTCCTAAAGTAATGGGAATATCTTTGGTTCCCCTACTGTATTTTAATGAATAGACGTATATCTATAACCCAAATAATATTAATGAAACCTAAAAGCAAAAAAGTTGCCTAGACAGTTATCTTAGAATGAGTTGCCCAGTTTAGATTTTTTTCTTAAACTGATGGGAACTTATATATTCCCTTCATCTGAGTTTGATTTACGTCACATTATAAAATTTTATCT